CTCTTTCCTGCCCAGGGCAGGGGGTTGGACTCGATTATCTGCTGAGGTCCCTTCTGACCCTAATATCTATGAATCTATACTACTGGACCCAGGACAGACACCTGTGGGATTCCTCCTGAAATCTCCTGCCATTCTGACATGGATCCATTTATAATTACACTTTGTTTTTGGCTATTGACCCAGTTTTCTATTAACCCTGTAGTAGTTTTATCTAGCCCACATTTCTCAATTTATGACGTCACATGGGACTTTGTCAAAAGTCTTGCTGAAGTCCAGATACTGCACTTGATCCGAGCCTTCAAGAGGCCGAGAATTGATTACTATATTGATTGTATTCTCTTCACCCACCCAACTAGTTATCTTGTTCTTGTTTGGCACAATTTATTCTTAGTAAAGCTGGCTGCTTACAATTAGCCTTTCCTCTTCTAAATGCTTGCAAATGGATATGCTCCCATAACTTCCCAGATGCTGAGGTGACACTAACTGTTCTGTAGTTCCCCAGGTGCATGTGTGCGTGTCAGCACATCTACATGAGATCTTTACTGTGCAGTAGATTAATTAGCTGCACAGTAAACATCCGCATCTACAGGTGCACCTCTATTAAGCTGGAGTAAGCCAATTTACTCCACAGCAAGATAGTACTTGTAAATAAGTACTATCCTGCTGCGTAGTTAAAAAAACAAAAAAACAACTCTGGAGCAGCGAACAGATAGACACTGCCCCGGCTGGGTGGGGCATGAAGGTGCTTCAAGCTGCCTGCTGGCTAGCTCTGCACTGAAGTAACTTTGTGCCCCAGCCAGCCCCTCCGTGACATACTGAGCCAAGGGAAAATGTGCTGTGATTCTGGCTGCACAGGAAGACACGCACCCGGGAGCAATGAATTCCAATGCGATAAGCTCCTGAGTTTATTCATGTGCATTAATATGCACATGTAGATGTGTACACATGCATATGTGTGTGTTTAAAAAGATGGGCGCTATTTTGGTCTTTTTCTAGTCCTCTGGTACCTCGTCCATCTGCATGACTTCAAAAATATTATTGTCAAGGGTTCCAAGATCTCCTTTGCTAGTTCCTTCAGTACGCTGGGATGAAG